AAATAATAAACGGATGTTCAGCCCCCTCCAACCAGTGCCTCCACTCCTCAAGAACCAGTTTAATGGCCAGTAACTCCCGGTCCCCCACGTCATACCTGATCTCGGTGATGTTAATCGCCGTGAGAAAAAGGCACAAGGATGGAGCTTGTGGTCTGCATGGGAAACCTAAGAGAGGACTGCTCCCACCCCAGTGTCTGAGGCATCCACCTCCGAGGTGAACTGCTGCTTGGGGTCAGACCTGCAGAGTACCGGGGCCTCAGAGAACCTTTTCTTGAGTGCCCGGAAGGCTGCCTCAGCTTCTGGAGACCAAAAGAAGGGTTTAATAGTTGAAGTGAGAGTCGCTAGTGGAGCTGCGGTTTGGCTATAGTTGCGGATGAACCGTCTATATAAGTTGGCGAAGCCCAGAAATCGCTGCAGCTGTTTTCTGGTAGTAGGAGTGGGCCACTCCGTCACAGCTTGCACCTTGTCTGGGTCTGCCTTCAGTCATCCGCTTTCTAACACAAAACCCAAAAATTTCACAACCGACACATGAAATTCACATTTCTCTGCTTTAACAAACAGTCTGTTCTCTAAAAGCCGTTGGAGCACGGCTTGGACATGTTTTTGGTGCTGGGTGATGGACCTGGAAAAGTTTAAAATGTCATCCAAATAGACAGTCACAAAGTTATTCAAATAGTCACCCAGTACAGAGTTCACCTGTCTCTGGAACATCGAAAGTGGAAGAAAGTAGGGGTGGGGGTATTTGTCCTTGACAGTTATCTGGTTGAGACCCTGATAGTCAATATATATTATATTATAGGTACATATATGTATCTATAATATAGTAAACAGCCAGTTTTATATATGTCACATATATTCAAAAGCTATATCAAAACATATATTAAAACCTATATGTTTATATGAATTCTTTCCATGTGGGTTGTCAATTGCTTAATATTTCCTATGTTTACCTATGGTAAAGAGCGGAGATATTGTACTCATCTAACTTTAACATAAATTTTGGCAGCTTAATGTGACGCTATGGAAAATGCCATCATCATGAGCAACTAGGGTTGTCACGGTAACCGGTATAGCGGTAAACCCCGGTAAAAAAGTTGACAATAAAATAACCGTCCAGTTTTTAAAAAACTAAATTATCTCGGTGGGCTTACCGTGGCCGCGGTTTCGGCGCGATGACCCTTACCAGCCACCGTCGCTTCAGCTGAAGTTCCCGCGGCGCGCACACGCACTTTTTAGTTTGCAACGGCACCAAAACTTTGAAGCTGAAATAATGGCCGAAGGAGGAGACGGCAGCGCCCAGGACATCCATCAGCCCTCAAAGAAGACTAAATCGGAAGTATGGGCATATTTTGGATTTCTGAAAAATGCTGAGGGACAGTTAATAGAAGACTGCTATCCCATTTGCAGAACGTGCAGGATAAAAGTGTCTGCAAAAGGCAGCAACACTTCGAATCTAATGGCACATCTGCGTGACCATCACCCACGTCTCTACAGCCAGTGCAAGGTAAGTTAACATTAGCATTTTAGCTTAAATGCATGACGTGAGGACTTTTGGTTGAGGGAGAATGCAACGAGTCACTATATACTGCAGCCGCAGCGTCCTCTGCCAGCATTTAAACCGTGTCACGGACACCCTGTTGCTGGATGAAGCATCTTATTTGTTGATGATGAAGAGAAATATACAATTAGTTCCTTGTCATTGATTTGTTTACTTATTCAATGCCATTTATACTTGAACATTTGGATTTGATTACATAGTGTAGTAGTTATTTTAGTAATTTGCTTAAAGTGGCTATTTATTTTAAATACATATTTTTTTAAGGTTGACTTGTACAGTGCTCAAGTCAGTTGTGGACTGGAGTTTTAGATTTTCATTATGATAATGAAGAAAACAAGTATATGGGAAAACAAGTGGTGTTTCTTTGATTTGTTTACATATTGTTTATGTTTTGAATGTTTGGATTTGTATAATTTAAACCTGCACTGACTACTGTAACATGTTCCAGAAAAAGAAACTATTTGTTCCTTTACTTGTGAAAAGCTGCACTTTTGCTAAGGCTTTGTGTTATTTTAGGTTTAATAAACACTGTTAAACCTTTTCAAAATTATTTCAGTTTGTGTAGAACAGGACTATCAATGCTTTCTGAACATATGCAACACTGTTTAAAAAATACCGCGATAATACCGAAAACCGTGATAATTTTGGTCACAATAACCGTGAGGTTAAATTTTCATACCATGACAACCCTATGAGCAACCAAACATAGGCTATATTAGGCTAACAGTTGTCCATATTCTGTCCCATTTATCCACCAATGGCTGTTTCAATTATTGTGAGTGAAAACTAAAGGGCATAGTAGCATTTGTTTTGGCGCTAGAAAATGAAAATGTTTTTCAATGTGTTGGCTAGATGGATATACGAAGACTTTTTTAAGAGAGTGAGTGAGGAACAGGAGAGAGATCAGGTGGTTGATGCTGAGGAGATCTGCATGGTCAAGGTCAGTGATCTACAGCGAAAACAGGGGTGAGCGCACCGTTATGAGCATTTACCTGAGCACAAAGTTCCCAAGCAAAATTGAACAGTTTTCTATTTAGGAGTGAACAGGTAAGAGACCTTGAAAAAAAAAGTATATATATATATATATATATATATATATATATATATATATATATATATATATATATATATAATTATCTTCTGACCTGCAACCTTATGTCAAGTTGTATCTGTATAGTTGACTTTCTGTATTATAAGTTCTACTACTTGCTGGATATTTTTATATATACTGTTATTTTGTCTTGTAATTTTTAATTACACACTCCTTTATTCCATATCATAGCAGTGTTATTCATATATTAAAACTGTCAACTGCACACTCATTTGGCAGAATAAAAGTTTGACAATTATTCAATGTTCTTTATTGTCACATTTCAGTAACATTTATAACTAAACAAGTTGTAATTAAACAAATTAAATGAATGACTACAACATTTCCCCCTGTTAAGTGCAGTAGACTGAAATGAATAGCTTTATTTGGAAATATAACATATCTAATTTTTAATGGACTTACATTAAATCTTTCTTCAACATAGACCCCACTAATGAACTGATTAAGTGTTATTTTTTGTAAAAAGAAGAGAGAAAATGCACAAAAGTAGGAAAGGAAAAGAAATGGATAAAATAATAGGTTTTGTTAAATGTTCTTCATATAATGAATTAATTGACAAAGTTTTTGCAGGGTGTGACAAAAAATGTTCAAGGTCAAGCTCCTGGGGCTAAGCCCCCCTATATCTCAATCCTAGTGATGTCCATGCTCAGAAGGGTGGAAAACAGTTTGAATTATTTCCAATCAATAAAAAAACATGTACAATGAGAAGAAAATGTCCTTTCACACACACTGATCAAGAACGTGGCTAACTATCAACGTTAAATGTGCAACAGAGCTCATCAGGCTAAACCAAGAACCATCATGAACTTTACACCAAACTGCTCGCATAATAAGTTATCTAATAAGGGTTAGAATACAATGTAGCAAAAAAAAAACTAATAAAAATAAAGTTGATTCAATTGAACTCAAAGATACTTTATTAATCCCAGAGGGAAATTAGAGTTTCAGAACACACAATTCTGAGATCATACATACATAGGCAAAGACACATGACAAGAATTGGTGACTGTGGTCATTTGCAACCCGAGTTGCGCTACCTTAATAGAGATCAGAGGGTTTACATGAGGACTGGGTCAGGTGGAGGAAAAAAAAGGCACTTCAGAGTTACCCTCCACAGGTAGGGCAGCTTTGCTATGCAAAAAACACCTCAGACAGAAATGCAACAGACTTCAGACATTACACAATATAAATGTCCACTAGGTGGGGTGGTAGGGTTTGGGACTCTCCTCACATCAGTGAATGCAGCCGAGATAAGCAGCACTCGTCACCTCAGTCTGGACAGGGGTAGGAGGTCTTGGGTTTAGAGGGCACAGTGACTCCTGTAACGATTCAGTGGCTTTCACAGCTCGCAGTCCCACCCAGGCTGGGATAGGGAGACAGAGTTGCCATGGCAATGGTAGCATTCCACATTTCTTCTGAGGGGTGGTGGTGGTGGTGGTGGTGGTGGGGGGGGGGGGGGTATTCGTTTCAGCATCACAGGCTCAAGGGCACCAGATTCAGATAAGAAATTGTTTTGGGGCCAGACAGAGATAATTTCTTCTCTGTCTTAAAGTTCCACTGGTCCTCAACCTCACAAAATCCAACAATGGCATAATTAATCTATCCTAATCCGTGCTGATTTGCCCACTTGCTCCTTGATCGCATCCATCTTCTGTGCCAGAGTCTGAATCTCAGCCAAAGTTCCAAGCTTATGACTCATCTCGACAATTATATGAGTCTGTGCATTCACAGTGCGGTGTAATCCATCCCTGAGCTCCGGGATTGAGCCAATATTCCTCGACAGCTCGTTAATTTTCCGGTAAGCCAGGTAACCTCCCAGGCCAAAAAGCAGTAAACCTGACACCAACACAACAAATATCCAGACATCTTCAGAATCCTCTACAGACAGTTGAGAGAGGCATATCAGGTTCCACTGTTTCCAGGAGTCCATGATATGCCCAACTGGATCTGTCCCAGAGGGGCACCCGGGAGCCCCTTCTCCCGTTCTCATCGTTGAGAAAATTTTGTCAGTCGTGTTGAGAGACCAGCTGACCAGATCCATTTTTAATAATTTCCAGTTTCCAGAAAAAATTTAGAAGCGTCGTACACCCAAAGACAGACAAAAAGCATTGGGGATAAGATAGGGAGGAGAGGAGGAAAAAGGTGTCTGTACTCTCCAAGAGCTGGATGAAGATGATACGTACAGTAAAGCCAGGACACCGACAGAATTGTGAACAGAATATTCCGTTTACAGCCGTGAAGCTACTGTGACTGGATCTGATCCGTTTTGGTCCGTGTATAGATCACAAACTAAGCATTCACCTGCCTGAATAATGTAACAGTATTACAAAAGGACTTACAGAAATCCATTCACAACTTAATTTCCCTCAAAGCAATCCACCCTAACCCTAACCCTAAAATTTACAGAGAACAAAAAAGAGTCATAGAGCAGTTTAGATCCTGCGTGCATCACGGCCACAAGTTTAAGTCCTCAGTAATAAAATCTTTTTGATTTTTCCTCTGTGGTCAAGATGTCCCAGAAGTCCTGATGCTCTCAAAACTTAAAAACAACCTGCAAGTAGAACAAAAACACTCAATGAGTACAGCTCACCTTTAGAAGTGTCCTTGCATAGAAAAACATAAACACACTGATGCAGACATGAACTAAAATCATAGACGTGAAGGTTAAAGCCTGGTTAGCGCAGCAGGATAAACATGCCGATGACATGATTCTCTCTTTCTGACACGATCAGCTTCATAGCGCTGAAGATAATCTAATTAGAAATTCCTATCGTGTGTGGTGTGGGACGACTCTGATCATGAATCTGGGCATTCAAACATGTTGGATTTTCTTGCTTTGATTTTCAAGGACAAACACGCATGCTGCTTGTTGAATGGGTTGTGTAGCCAATCAGGAAGTTACACACTTCTCCTCCGACACATTTGTTTACCCTGATGTCACGTTTAATCTTGTAAGATTTCCCGTCTGACCGGGCAATGTTGATGTGTGACACGTGTTTGCATGCAGTTTTTCTGTGTTGCTGCACACAGCAACCAAAACTGGTATAGCAATGAAAATCATTCAATAATTGAAAAATCCTGCCCTTGTCTAAGGGCTGAAAACAAGGCTTTTTTCCCTTTACATCTAAAAGCCACATTTAGCCTGCAAAGAGATCGATTCCTATCCACTTACTCACACATGCATACGTGCATGCACACCCACACTGGACACAAAACCCCCAGCTACAAATAAAGCTACTGTCTGAAGAACTTTATTGTCGATAATAATTGCAGATGAGCAAAAAAATTGCCTGCTCTGTGTCCAGACTGTCCTTCCATAAGCTCATGTGATGATGATCCCGTTACTGACCGATCCTAAACCTTTCTGGGTTCACATATAGATGAGATGCGATGGACAGCACTGATCTGACACACTCAGAAAACAAGTTGTAGTACATTTTAGCTACAGAAAACCTTAAGTTTATTACATTGCTATTGTAATTTTTTTCATCTTGGACATTGAGGAGAAAATTAAAACTGCCCAAATATTTTTAGCAGTGCGCCAAGCAGTGATGAGGTCACTGATATGCAAATCAGTGTGTATCTCTCTGAAACTTTACCAGATTTTTGCCAAGAAGCCTATTTTAATGTTTTAGAGATCAGGATATCTTTTCAACCAGTGAATGCTCAGTATTTACACTAAAGACTGGTCATGCTTTGTGTGGAAATTCACAATTTTAACATTACTGATTGTTTTAAATGTCCTCATAATGGAAATTCACTTTTTCCTGGTTTGAATCCTTTTTGAGAATTCTCCGGAGATGTCTCTGATCTCTGTCTACTGACAGGTAAGACACTGACTTCTCATAAGCACTCCACTAAACACTGAAAGCATCTGATATTGTAATTAATAATATTATTAGGTGGATATAGAACAATCTGACATTTAAAACCATTGTTTTGGATCACAACTCTGTCGTAACATTCCTTGTGAGATGTGGTGGAGCCGAGAGTCTTTCTGCTGACCTGGAAAACAGCTGGAGCTTCAGCTGAGCCCGATCTCCATCAGGTTGATCTTGATAATGACGTCGGTGACGGCGTCAAACACAAACTGCACATTATTGGTGTCTGTGGCACAAGTGAAGTGGGTGTAGATCTCTTTTGTGTTCTTCTGTTTATTGAGGTCTTCAAACTGGCATTGGATGTAGGCCGCTGCCTCTTCGTACGAGCTCCCACCTGAAGAAGTTGGGACACAAATCAGTAATCTTTTCCATTATTGTAACCTCTACTGACACTGGTTTGTGTTTCCAAGGCTGCAGGATCCACAATTTGTTCAGCTCCGTTTTTCTTTTCCAGTCAAAGCATTTCTAATTTAAACTGTGACAACAGGTGTTACCGGTGATATCCGAAGGTTTTCCAGTGAGATGCAACAAAACCTTTTGTAGTAACTTATCCATTAGTAAATAAAATGAGGCCTTCCAGGAAAATAAAGCAAAAGTTTAAAATTAAATTTATCAGTTAGTCTCACCGTTGTACTCGGGGTAACAGATAGTGAGCGGACTCCTGCTGACCTTCTCTTCAAACAAGTCTTTCTTATTGAGGAAGAGGATGATGGAGGTGCGCTTGAACCATTTGTTGTTGCAGATGGAGTCGAAAAGCTTCATGCTCTCATGCATGCGGTTCTGGGGAAAACACAAACTGTAAAGTTGACCTGAGTTTTTCTTAATATCTTTGTCTTACAGAAAACCTTTAGATTGAAAAATCTGATAACTTTGCAAATGGAAGCAAGTTTTAAAGCCATTTGTTGGTTGTGGCCACTTTTGGTTCATTTGGCCTTGAGATCAATGAGTCATGATTAAAATCACAAAACGTGAAAACAAGATGGTTTATTTTTGTACAGCATGGGAAAACTGAAGTCACATAAATAAATAAAATCAAACTACTTGACCACAAGATCACAAATATTGATCATCTTCTGATAAACTGATGAGATGTCTAACCGTATTGTGCTGAGAACTCCTGAATCCTGACATTTAAGTTTCTCCCACAGAAATAAACAATTCATCGTCCAAAGTCACTAACCACACATTTTCTTCTCTTCCTTTAGTTTTAGTTTCCTGTGAGTGAATATAAAAGAGTAGAGAGGCCAGTGACATCATTTACTAGAGTTGGAGGACTGGAATTTTCAGTCGGCCATGACCTTTATGTGTTTTTTTTCTGGAGCTTTAATTGTGTTTATGCATACACAATACAAACCAAATATATTAAGTCACTCTTAATGTCTCAAAATTTTATTTACAGATAATTTAACATTGTTTGAACCTTATTTGGATTTTTGCTACTTTTTCACTCATTTTCAGTCCCCTACTTGCACATCTTTAAAAGCTTCCCCTACTTACTTCATAATTTAGCACAAACCAGACAAGTTTAAAAGATTAGAAGAAATTCTGACTTCTTATAGGGACAACCAACAAAAACTACAGGACTGTGGGTATGAACATCAGTCTGAGAGTTCCGTTCAATTCAATTCAAGTTTATTTATGTAGCGCCAAATCACAACAAGAGTTGTCTCAAGGCACTTCACATAATAAACATTCCAGTACAGGTCAGTTCATTAAGCCAATCAGTAAAATGTTTCCTGTATAAGGAACCCAGCAGATTTCATCAAGTTACCGACTAGTGTCAGAGTCATTACAGCAATCCTTATACTAAGCAAGCATTTAGAGGAAACTCCCTTTTAATAGGAAGAAACCTCCAGAGGATCCTGGCTCAGAAAAAGCAGTCATCCACCACGACTCACTGGGGATGGAGAAGACAGAGCAGACACACACACAAACACACACACACACACCAACCCCCCCCCCCCCCCCCCCCCCCACACACACACACACACACACACACGCACACAACATATAAGCCAACAGCTTATATGAATGAACTATTTAAAGACTTATTTCAAGGAAAGCTGGAGTCTGAGCCTGAAGTGGAATGGGCGCACCAAATTGGACAAGAGAAGAAAGCGGGTGTAAGAGGGATGGTTGTGCACCTGCAAATGTTGTCAACGAAGGAGAAGATAATAGAAGTGATGAAAAAGGAACGTGTCTTACAAGTACGAGGAATGAAGTTAAAGATTTTTCCGGATCTGACAAGGGAGATGGCAAAGAAACGGGCCGGTTTCTGGGAGATCAGATCTAAACTGAAGAGTGCAGGAGTGAGACACGGTACGGTCTTCCCAGCTACGCTGATCTTAACTTTTAAAGGAGAGACAAAAAGTTTCAGTAACGAAGTGAGGCTGAGATGTACTGTAAAACTGTGATTGAGCCTGAACTTAAGAAATAATGACAATTGATATCAATTAAATAATAGCTAAAAGGCGTGAAGATGACCTTTCAAGAATAGGACTGAGAGCACTATTGTAGATCTCGCTATGGTTAATATTGTTTGAACCCACATAATGATTTATTTTTGAAAGATTATGTCATGAGCTGGCAGAACGAAGCAGAAATTTATTTTCATTACAATGTTAAAGATTTTTGTGACTGTCTGTGTGTGTGTGAATGTGGTTGTGTTGGGATAAAGGCTATAATGGAAGCTCAGTGTGAAATCATAAATAGAAGAAATTCAAAACGAATCTTCAATGGCTGATAAAATTTTGTTGCAAAAAGGAGGGTTTAAATGAGCTCATTTGAATGTGTGTAGTTTAAGGAATAAAATAGATGATATTCAAGATATTGTAGAAAAGTATAATTTACAGGTAATGGCAATAACAGAAACACATTTGGATTTGACAATAAATAGTTCTTTATTAATCATAAATGGGTACAGTCTTTTTAGATTGGATAGAACTTAACATGGTGGTGGTGTCGCTTGTTATATTCAAAATAATATTCCTGTTAAGGTAAGAACAGAGTTCACAATTACAGGTGTGGAAGCACTCTGGTTACAGTTATAATTTCCTAATTTGAAATCTGTTTTAGTTGGATGTTGCTACAGACCACCGGATGCTGCTATAATGTATCTCGATCAAATAGGTGAAATGTTAGATAAGGTTTGTGACACAGGAACTGAGATTTACCTATTAGGGGACTTAAACATAGATTGAAAATCAAGAAATTGCTCATTAAAGAGCTAATTACTCCCATTTGCTAATACTTTTTATTTGTCACAAGTTGTAAAAGATTTCACAAGAGTGCAGGTTAAAAATAATGGTGTATGCTCTAAAACGAGTATTGATTAAATTTTTACTAATATGGCTGAATTATGTTCTGAGGCTATTTCAGTTCCAGTTGGTTGCAGTGACCATAATTTGGTTGCTATTAAAAGAAAAGTTAAGGTGCCAAAAGGTCAACAATTTATATATAAAAGAATTTTTTTAAACTTTAGAGAGAGTGATTTTGTAGAAGAAATAAGAAACATAGATTGGACAGACGTAACAAAGGAGAAGGATCCAGGAAAGGCTGTAGAGATGTTTGACAATTTGTTAACAAAGGTGATAAATAAACATGCACCGATGAGGAAACAGGCTGTAAGAAGTGTAGCTTCTCCATGGCTGGATAAAGAACTTAAGGAACGTATGAGGCAGAGGGACAAATTAAAATTAGAGCAATAAAAACAAATCAATTGGAAACATGTGCGAATATCGCAAAATAAGGAACATTGTGACTAAACTGAATAAAAACAAAAAACAATTATATTGTCATAGAAGAATCACAGAAGTTAAATTAGATAATGCAAAGGTGTGGGGTACATTAAATGAGTTCATGGGGGTTAAAAAAGGAAGGCACCTACTCTTCTAGAGGCAAATGGAGTTTTTTTTAACCAAACCAAAAGAAAAAGCTGATTATCTAAAACTGTTTTTTATCAATAAAATTAAAACATTGCATAATACCAGGGAGGAGAGAAAAGATGAAAATACATCTTATCAAAGAATTAAGGATGATATAATACAAATGAAAGACTGTGAGTTTAAGTTTGTGGACGTGTCAGAGGATTACATTAAAAAATTAATCTTAAATAGTAAAGATAAACCCCCTGGAATGGACCATATTGATATAAGATTGCTAAAATTGGTGGTAGATTTTATTTTACTGCCGGTTTCACATATATTTAACATATGTTTTAAGAAAAGTATTTTTCCAGCCCAATGGAAAAGGCAAAAGTAATTCCATTAATCAAAAATAACAGAGAACCACTGTCTGGTTAAAATAGTCAGCCAATAAGTTTGTTACCAGCATTAAGCAAATTTTTGGAAAGAGTAGCATATAAACAAATACAAGAATATTTTATAACAAATAGATTAAACACAATTTATCAACATGCATTTAAGGTGGGTCACTCCACTACTACTGCACTTGCTCAGATTACTGATCATTGGTTGGAAGAATTAGAGGATACAAAGTTAGTTGGTACTATATTTTTAGATTTGAGTGCAGCTTTTGATGTGATTGATCATAAAATCTTTTAAAAAAATAGAACATTATAGGTTTCTGTTGTCCGCCATTAAGTGGACAGAAAGTTATTTAACGAATCGTAAATTCAACTTCTATTTTAATGGCAGTTATTCTGAAACAGGTCAGTTAGATTGTGGAGTGCCACAGGGCAGTTGTTTGGGCCATCTTTTGTTTTCTATTTTTATTAATGACTTACCTTTGATTTTAAAACATGCAACCATGGCTATATATGCAGATGACACTACATTTTTGCATTAGCAAAAACAGAAGGCCAATTAAATGATATTTTTAAAAAGGAGTTGATTTAGTTACACAATGGATTAGAATGAACGAACTAGAAATCAATGCAGAAAAAACTAAACATATTATAGTTGGAAATAAATATACACTACAGATGACACCTAGACTGCATTTGAAGCTAGGTAATATAGAGCAGGTAGAAGAAGCAAGATTGTTGGGGGTAATTGCGGATTCTAGATTGTCATGGACTAGTCACATAAATCATGTCCTGCTGAAACTTGGAAGAAGTATGGGCACAATCAAACATTGTTGTAAATTTATTCCTCATTTGCAGATAAAAACTTTAGTTCAAACATTAGTACTGTCTCATTTAGATTATGCATCACTTATTTGGTCTAATACAAGTTAATTGAATTTATATAAGTTACAAGTGACACAAAATAAAGCTGCACGAATTGTTCTGGGTTGTAATTATAGAACAAATGTAAGTATGATGCATGATAGGTTGGCCTGGTTAACAGTGAAATGTAGATTAAAGTATTCACTGATAACATTTATAAGAAATATAATAACTACGAAAATACCTAGAATAATTTATGACAAGTTATCATTTTTTTCGGACAATCATGATTACATGAAGAGACAGACAAGTGACATAAGGTGCGGCCTACCGCGCTGCAGAGCAAATCAAAGGCAAAGAGCGGTTTATTACAGAGCCATGGTTGCATGGAATGCCATACCGAGATTTTTGTTACTAGAGAATAACAGAAGATGTTTTCAAAAGAAGTGAAACTTTTTTTGTTTCCACAACAGTAAATTTTGCACAATGAATTGTAAATGTGACTGATATGGCAGCTTCTGTAGTTTTTGTTTGTTATGGAAGTGATGTGATATGATTTTTGATTCTTGGATATATTTATTTATTGCTCTGTGTAAACTCTCCGTATTTACTTATTTAGATTTTTCATGAACGCTGAAGTGTGTGGTAACTTATTGGTATATCATTATTGCAATTGTGCTGGTATGATTATAATGAGCTCCTGGGGTTTGCTGTTGTTGTTGTTGTTGTTGTTGTGTGTGTGTGTGTGTGTGTGTGTGTGTGTGTGTGTGTGTGTGTGTGTGTGTGTGTGTGTGTGTGTGTGTGTGTGTGTGTGTGTGTGTGGGTGTATGTGGGGACGGGGGTGTTTTTTTTTTAATATTTGTAATGAAATTGGAAGAGACCTCAGGAAGAATAGCTCCACACAATGGTGGGAGCTAATGAGGTTCTCAATAAATAAATAAATAAATAAAACATATATACCAAGTAGTATTTCTATGGTTACATTGTGATTTCTTAGTAAATATTTTATTTGGTGAGAGATAAACTTTATTGTATTTATCCTAGTGAATTTATAATTAAACGGGTAAACTAGTAGTAGCACATCCAACGTCAAAGAAAGTTAAATGTTATTATCAGGAGAGGGAGAATGTTTAAGTGGTTAGCGGCAGTGTTCAAGCCGATGGCCCCCTCAATGAGGGCACCACAGCTCAGCAGAACATCATTGTAGCTTCTTCTGGGGAGAAAAATACTTAGAGAAAAAAATAAAGTTAACAGCTGAAATAATGCAGTTAAAGAGCAGATTGTAGAAGAAAGTAGTAGAGTGTGGAGCGTGGTCAGTGTGTCCTCCAGCAGTCTAAGCCTATAGCAGTATAACTACAGAGATAACCCAGCCTTTTAGATGGTGGTATGTTGGAGGCCTCCTTCTACTCCTCCACTTGTCCAGATCTGGGCTAACATCAGATTTTAACCATAGGCCCTATCAAATAAAAATGTTTTAAGCCTAGTCTTAAAAGTAGACAGGGTGTCTGCCTCTCGGACTGTTTTTTTGACTTAAAGCCAGCATGCCTAAAGTGTGGCGCGGGGGCGATCTGCAGCCTTTGGAGGTTTTTTTTGTGGCTCTCACTTGCTTTTCTACACTGGTGTATTTTTGTCATCAGCAGGATGTGGATTTAGCTCCAAAACCTTTACAGTACAAATAAAAAAAGCATCACAATTTTATTAAACATGTTTTAAAATGAACAAAACCACATTTAATTTTTCACTTAACCGTTTCGGTCATTATCTTGAAAAGTTTGGACACCCCTGCCTTAGACTGCATGTAAAGAATTATTGTGATTATCATATGTATTTTATCAAAAGAGACCCTGTCTTATATTTAAAGGGGAACTAGGCAGTTTTGGCCTGCTTTTAGCACCCCCTAGTGTTCATTTGTAGAACCGAAAGCCAAACCTATCTCCTCACTGTGTTTGTCTTAATCTAACAGCTGAAATGTCTCTCCAGCTTTTATTAGTGTCTACAGGAGTGATTCATCACCATTTTAAACAAATCAGCTGTGTTCAGATCTAAAACATGAAGGAAATGTGCTGGAACCAGACTGCAGTGCCAGGTACGTCAGCTCAAAGTCCCAACAGAGCGGCCCGCCAGTCTGAAGTTGCAAATAGAATACTCTGGCCACAGGGAGCAATAGGGGCTGGGTATATTAACCCTGTAAAGGGTAATTTTAGCACATAGTGACTCAAGAAAAAGATTTCAAAATATAAAAAAAGTAGCAACATATCCCTTTCATACAAACAGATTGAAATCAGAATGTTTCTAGAGTGTTTTTGGTTAAAAAGGACAATTTTAGTTTGTGGCCGAGTTTAGTTCAGACGCAGCTACAGTTTGATTTTCCCATCTTTTAAACTCACCACCACAGGATGTTGACCTTGTTGCTTCAGGGCATCAGTGATTCATGTCCGCTCACTTACCATCTCCTCATCCTCAGCCAGGACGAGGTCGTAGTCGCTCAGCGCCACGCAGAAAATGATCGCTGTGACTCCTTCAAAACAGTGGATCCACTTCTTCCTCTCTGAGCGCTGACCCCCAACATCAAACATCCTGAGGACACAAAAAGGAACGCATGACCTCGGTCAGTGCATTACTAAATGAGTTCATTCATGCTGGGTTTAATATAATTTTAATATCAGTGGTTTATACGGTTTATTTTTTATAATCCGGGGTGTACACAGACACATGTGGCACGCTGCTGACCTGACTTTGTAATCTCCTGTTTGCGCGCCTCAACCTGAGGCCCTCGGAGGCTAACTGAGTCCATGCTAAGCTGGCACAGAAATGAAAGAACACCGTGTGCTGCAACACCAGTTCAGTGACTACACGTCTCCGGGTCCTGGGCATTTTTTATGGTGCTGCAAAGGCAGGGGTGTGTGAGTGTGTTATTACAGTTAATGTTTCACCAACATCTCTAAGTACAGAAGCCAGAAAAAAATAATGTAGAGGAGGGAAGCAATCTAATTATGGCTTGTACTGCATTAGGGTTTTAGAAAGGGCCATAAACCTGAATTTTCATTTAAAGTGTGCCAAACAAGCAGAAATTGTGATCAAACACCAGAATAAAAGGGCCCTTTGACACTGGATTAGGTTTTCTCCATTAGTTTGGCTCATTTCTTGAAACAGAAATTACATTCTCAAAATAACAAACCTCCAAACCTCTTGGCAAACGTTCACAACAGAATGGCATTTCTCATTCATTTTATCAAATGGCAAATGCCTTAGTACATGTCTCAGTTGTCTCAATTGTCTCAGTGCATCTTTGCAAATGATTAAGTACATGTAGCCTACAGTTATACAGTTAGCCCACATTTAGTACATTTTCCAAATGAATAGATCTTGTAGATCTAAACTGATTAGTTTATTCTCAGTCTAATGATCATTCTCTCCAAAACATGTCAGCATGATTTCATTGTATAAGTACTCGCATGCACAAATGTCTGTTCAATTGTCAGAATTGGTCAAGAACATAATACCATGAATACCAAATATGAATTTCTTTGAATATTTGCTACATTGATGACAGTCATTGACAGTCAGGTGAAACTAGACTAACGAACGGGGAGTGTCACACACAGGTGTTTTCCATGATTGTGCGCTGCCAAACACAGATATATAGAGCTTGACCAGCGCCAGTCCGATCTCTGAACATGGATGGACAAGGCCAAGCAAACAGACAAGGGGAAGTTCTTCCTCAAGGAAGAAGAGGAAGAAGAAGAAGAAGAGCACTGAGAATGCGTGGTGGAGGAATAGGGGGAAGAGGCAGAGGAGCGGGAAGACACTGTGCAGTCCCGAGAATCTGTGTCCAGACGGACAACAGCGTGTAAATAATCAGGAGGGTGAAGACGGTGGACAAGAGCGGGAGAATGAGTACAGCAACCACTGAATATGTCCTTGTTTTTTGATTTTGTGTTCATACAATTTACTGTATTACTGTAAAGTACATTTTCTTTTTACATATGTATGAAACTTTCTTTTTGTGTGAATAAAAAATGGTTATAATTTCCTTGGTAGTGTGAGTGCAATCTGTGATGTCAAACCTTGGAGGCTACTCTTTTCAGTTGTATATTGGTCCTCTGCCATAGTGACAAAACATCTAAACATTTTATGTTTATGTTTATTTATTTGGCAGACGCTTTTATCCAAAGCAACTTACAATTTATAACCTATAGGGCATGTTGTGATGGGTTGTATGGCAGTACTCACACAATGCCAAAGGGACGATGCATTTTGGGGGCACTGACTATTCAGATTAGAAAGAAATGTAGTTTTGACATGAGTGAACTGTTTCAGGAGAGATATGAGCTTTTGCAGGTAAACCATGTTGTTGTGATCAACCATCCAGGTTTATTTTGACAAAGGCACCAAGAATGATGAGAATGTCCGATCTGTGTCGAGAAATGAGCCAAAGCCATTGAGAAGGATCTTTGCCCTTTTGGACTGACACTGTTTAAATGAGAAAGGGATTTAGAGTGAAGCCTGAGTGAACGGTTTTGGAAGAGATATGAGCTTTTGCAGGTGAGCTATAGTGTTGTGCTAAACTGTAAGAGTGTTTTGCCAAATGATCTTAGAGGCATGAAAATGTAATTTCTGTTTCAAGAAATGAGCCAAACCAATGGAGAAAAACTGTAATACCATATATGCCCATTATTGGGTCTTGGTTTTCAGACCATTTAAAGATACAAAAACTTCCCTTTCGGGGCTTCACTAAGGCGTCAGATTATTGCGACTGTTCTGGCGGTGAGTGACGCCATTGATTGGCGCCAAAAGGTATCCACGGACATTAACTCATTCACTGCCAGCCGTTTCCTGATTGGTAAAGCCCTTCGCTGCCAGTGTTTCTCACCGTTTTTACTGGGGCGGCAGTAGCTCAACAGGTTGAGCGGGTTGTCCAGTAATCGGAAGGTTGCAGGTTCGATCCTGGCTCCAGACAGAGAATTCTGCTGTTGTGTCCTTGGGCAAGACACTTAACCCACCTTGCCTGCTGATGGTGGTCGGAGGGACGGGCGGCGCCTGTGCTCGGCAGCCTCGCCTCTGTCAGTGCACCCCAGGGCAGCTGTGGCTACATCGTCGCTCATCATCATCAGTGTGTGAATGAGTGTGTGAATGGATGAATGATACACTGTAGTGTAAAGCGCTTTGGAGTCCTTACTCTGAGAGGCGCTATACAAGTGCGGGTCATACTGTTTTTTTTAAGAGTCACAGAACGTTGCGCTCTAGGATGATGTCGACGCCAAAACAACCAAAACAAAGAGGAGGCTCACCTCTTACATCAGGAAGAAGCCGCGTGTTTCGAGCGTTATCCATTCTTTCATAATCCGTTGTCGAATTGTGATCGGCAGAGGCTTTTCCGTTTTGCGCCTCACTTTGTTTTACAGGAACGGCCCAGAACGATCTCCTAACACATGGATGTTCTGCTTCCTGATCATGTGACGTGTGCGGATGAAGATCGGCTTCAGAGCTGAGATGTTTGTTCTCTCAGCGCGGGTACTAGTTCCGATGCCCAAACAGTAAAAAAAAAAAAAAATGCAAATGATGACTTTAGTCATCATTGGCAGTGAATGAGTTAATGACATTTAAAACATTTTATTCTGTCAAAGTACGCTGTGTTTTATGTCATAGTACCTGGGAGAGCAGAGGAAGCGGCATAAATGACAGCGTTGTGGAGGGATTTCCTACACATTTTCTGATGTTGAGTTTTGAAATGGCGATTTTAAAGCAGTGTGAATGTTGCTTATTTTCTTTTCCTTCCATTCTGCATCACCAGCAACTCTTTCAATTTTACAAATGGCGCAGGTTTGGCAATAGTTGCCTATATCGTTTCCTACTGAGTTACAACCAATCAGAATGAAATAACCACTAGCCGAGCCATTTCCGAGTACATACCCCATGGCAGATACTCAGTTGGTGCCTGAAATGGCCCAGAAAGTGGTCCTATTAAGCCAGCCCAGTTAAGGGAGACACACACATGCCATGAAGGTCTGATAAAATTACCTTTTAGGTCCGATTGTGGAAACGGGCCTATAGATTCAGATGAAGGAGCTGTTACCGCACGGAAGGTACAAAAAAGCCTTTTTTTCTTCTAAAACAAAATGATACATTACAATGTGTTAAAGCTTTACTTTGGTTCATAGCAAATATTTCACTAGATAACAAGATTATCAGATATTTAGTAAATTCTATGAACCAAAACATGAACCAAAAACTGTCCACCAGCTCAGGACTAGAAGGAAGTATTTATGGAAACAACAGTCCTCCCTCAGCTGAGGTCGGTGATGATCAGATGGAGCTGTACTAACTTGAAGTGGAGATCTTTGAAGGTGAAGTGAGTTTCCACGATGCCTGTTGTTTTCACTCGGGTACGTAAAACGTCCTGCTGAGTCGGGATGTAGTTCTGCTCACAGATCCGGTCCAAATCGTTCAGGTAGCTGGAGAGAGAGGAGACAAAGTGGCATGATCTACGAGCAAAGGAGCTCACTGCCGGGATGTTTGTTTTGTTAAAAACTCAAATTAGAATTTAAAGCAGCTTGGCTTTAAATCTTTAAATGTCTACCAGACACTTGTTCTCAATTACGTGCAGAGTTTAAAAACAACTGAGATTTCCAGAGAACAAGACTAAATATGGGCTCATATTTTCATAGATGATAGCTTCTTGTGGGTTGAGTAAAAACAGACTAACTCCGCCGGTTTCGTTTGTCGCAGAAAGCAAACCAGAGTCATGACAACTCGTCTGTTTTCACAACAAAGACTGTGCCCTTCTCACAGAGAACCTTGAGCTTTGTCTGTTTCTGAGTGGTAACATCAGACTGCTTTACTTGCTAGCTTTATTTCATTAGTGGCTAACATAGTCATAGTGAGACTGTAAAAAGAAGACCTGTCAGTTTCTTACAAATTTAACTGCTGCTTTTAGGAATCTAATCAGCAGTGGAACGAGCTGAGACCGGATCAAAAAGGACAAGATGCTTCACGCCTTTTCTTTGCCTTCCAGTCATAATGTCAGACGTGTTAGCGCTTGCTATCCAGGTTTGGTGTGATGTTCTCACTATGGAGCGGAGTCATTGAGCTGATACTCTCGTGACCGATCGAAACAGCCCTGGACGCCGCTGTCGCTCCACAACCTGCTTATCACGGCGCTCAGCTCTGCAGACATCACTCCTTCCTCTGTCGTACTCGCCAGGGCAAACAGCTGGCGGGCGTCGTCCTGCAGGAAGATAAATGCGACTGTAAAATCGATGCTGTGGTGATTTATATCACAACTTGGCTGATAGCTTACCGCCCGTGCAGGATCCTCAAAATCTATCTTCAACCGGCCCATGGCCCTGATGATGGCCATGATTGACTGGAGGGTGTTGCTGTACACGACCACTTTGTACTGCTTACACTCCTCTTCTGAGTAGCCATGTTCATGGATGATTCTGAGAGAAACACGCTTTTAGAGTTCACGTAAAAATGTGGATTCAGTTACACATTCGTGTATTTCTGTCATTAGTGCAGGAATCTGAGCTTCAGTGAGTCTGCAGCATGGCTAATGTGGGAACCGAGGGGAACTCTATTCATGTTCTGCCAGGCAACATTTCGCCTCTGTTGCCATTGTTCCATCAAAAAAGGGGGCTTCCTCCTTTGGCTGAGTGGAACAAAATCAGGCTCGTGTTTCCAGACAGATGAGCTCAACAATGTGGCAGCTAAAAGAAGAAGTGAGCCTGTACTTCATCAGCGCAACACAAAAAATTGCTTTACAGGAAGTCTGAAGCCTTCCAAAGAACCTCCATCCACACAAACTGTGACTCACTTCATCTGTTTCACAATCGTGCTTTTCCCAGATTCCCCAGCACCTGGAGAGAAAAATGAGGAAGAGAGGGAGATAATGTGAGGCAGAAAGACATTTTTCATAAGTATAATGGATCAGTCCAGCTTTGCATATGAGCTGAAATTAATCTGATGATATTTAATCACACAGTCGGCATTTTGGGGGGAGTTTACGAGATAGCTCATGCAGCAGTCAGCAGTTTCAGGGCATTCAATCAGCCTCCATGGAACGACTGGATGAAGCGGGGATGAAATTTATGTAAACTTTCACAATGTTTGACATCTGGGGCAGATGATTAGCTGCTGACTGGCAGAAGAGATGGTAAATCCCCACAAAGCTTCCATCACAACAAGTGATATTATAATAATGATGAGTAGATGGAAGGTTTAAACTTGAACACTAAATTAATTTCCACAACAATCAGCCAAACAGGAAGCAGCAGCTCTGGCTGGAAGTGTTTGTCCCGCTGAAGAGACAAATCCCAGATATGGTGCTGTTCACGGAGCAGAGAGGACATCCAAACAACACGTATGATCCAACTAGTCTGTGTCAGCTGTTTAACCCCCCACCCCCTCCATCCCATCTGCTCTCTGACCCTGCTGTCAACTATAAAATACAACACACATTGATCATCAGTAAGTGTACAATTAGTGCAAATGATATGTTTACTGAGATATAAACAGAAACTGGCTTCATGCCTCAGATTTCTCCTTAGAAATACACTGGAATGTAATTAGAAAACATCACAGACGTGCACAGTGTGTGTGTGTGTGTGTGTGTGTGTGTGTGTGTGTGCGTGCGTGACAAGCATCAGGCAAATAATTTAGTTCACTTCTCACAAGAAAAATCCATCCAGCCATCCATTTTCTGAACCCGTTTCGTCCACGTAGGGTCGCGCGCGGGGAGGTGGGGTGGCGGGGGGGGGGGGGGGGGGGGGGGGGGGGCTATCTCGAGCGGTCAATGGGCAATCAGGCGGGGTACACCCTGGACAGAGAGCCAGTCCATCGCAGGGCAACACAGAGACACACAGGACAAACAATCTCACACACATCTAAGGACAATTTAGACAGACCAATTAACCTAACAGTCATGTTTTTGGACTGTGGGAGAAAGCTGGAGTACCCAGAGAGAACCCACGCATGCACATGGAGAACATGCAAATTCCATGCAGAAAGACCCCAGGCTGGGAAACGAACCCAGGACCTTCTCGCTGCAAGGCAACAGCTCTAACCACTGCGCCACTGTGCAGACTCACAAGAAAAATATCATTCAAAATTTAAACGAGTCACAGGAAGTTGACCTTTTTTACACGTTCTGATGTGATTTTGGAGTATTTTGTTTACTCTTCAATAAATGTTTTGATGAAACTTTAATTTTCTGTTGGAGGCTCAGTTTCAGTTAAAGATAAGCCTGTGCCCGTATTTGTCCAGGTATTACGGGTTATCGTGGTGACCATAATGTGCCACTAACAGCAGTTTTAACATTTCTCTGCATCTTTACTTTGGTCACCCATCTTACCTCAAAGCAAAGGTACGCTGTCATAGCTTATACCCTTGCTATATCCATACTTGTATTATAACTGAGCTTTACGAATGTTGATGCTGTATTTTTGGACTGTAGCTGTACTGGCACGCTTCAGTCAGATCATTTCTACTTGCAAATGTGAGGTACCTTAAAGACCACCAAATAGTTAAAATAACATCCACAAAAAACTGCTATAAAATGTAATGTTTGGATTGTAAGCGCTCTGCTGTACATGAATTACCTGTTCATTAATCTCAGTTACTTTACTGATAAAACAAAAGTGTCATAAAATCCCTTTCACCCTTTTTTGCTGCATGGCAAATGCTTCATCTGCTCTGTGCCACGGCCGTTTTCTTTTTTTTTTATACTAAGATGACATTCTTAAAATAACTTTGTTCAGTGGCTCTGGAGAGGCTCTATAAATATAAAGAAATACTTTTATGGGAATGATCAGGTTCATGCCACACAAATGGTTCATATCAGCCCATTGGATATGACGCTGGAATCAGCAGATGATCCAAATGTCCCAATAACTCCCAGTAAGATAAAAGCACATTAAAAAGTCACATTTAAATGTCCTCTTCTGAATCACGTTTAGTTCCCGTTTTCTTGCTTTTATTTGATGTTTCAGTGTAGCTTTGGTATGAGATCCATGAACCTCTGCAAACCTGTACAACGACACTGTGACTAGGTGGGACTCAGTAACATGAGCTAACTCTTTCAGGTTTGAACTTCTGCATTCGCACAAACAAACAGGAAGCACAAACTCCTGATCTGCTGCTCAGAAGAACCCGATGGATGACATTTTCAAATCCATGTGAATCACTACAATTAATACGGCTCAATAGGCTGTGATTTTGTTTTTGGGATGCACCAATATAAACATTTGGGCCAATATTAATGTCTATATTGCTGTTATGGCTGATAACTGAAATTTACAGATATTATAATTATACATTATTACACGTTTCTATAATTTCATATACATATATATATATATATATATATATATACACATACACACACACACACACACACACACACACACACACACACACACATATATATATATATATATATATATATATATATATATATATATATATATATATATATATATATATATATATATATATACATATATACATATATATGAATATATGTATATATATACACCATAAATCCTCTAATACAGGCCCAGGCCTGTATTTGACTCAAGCTCATCAGGCTCCAGGCCTTTATTGGAAGGAGGACCAGAATTAGAGGCAGGCCTCAATTTCTATTTGAGCAAAATGAACTAATGGTTTGCTGGAGTTTTTGACAATTAAAATTGCACCCACATTGTCAAAGTTAAACACATTTCTTTTAACAACAGTAGTTTCTGCTTCAGCCCTCTCCCCCTGCGCAGCGGCCGCAAACTCTTTTTTTTTTTTTACCGTGTCCTGTCTGGCTGTGAAGCAAGCAGAATTGATGTCTGAATGCTGGTGACAAGCCTTACAGATTTACTCTCAGGTGGAGCATCAAAGTGTCTGCTTTTAATGTCACGCCTGATACTTAAAACTTTATTGTTATTGTTGTTGAATGCTTTGTAATTCCGACCAGACACGGAGACAGAGGTGAAAGAGAAAGGAAAAGAAAAGGTGGGGAGGGGGAGGGGGGGGGGGTCCACAAAAATAAACAATGAACAAGAGTCTGCTTCTTGACCTGCAGAAAAAAAACTAAAAAAAAGCAAAAGGACAAAAAAAGGGACACAACAACAATACAACAAGATCAAGCTATCACTGAGTCAACTTGATGAAAAAATATATAATCAACATTGCTTAACTGAAGAATCACGATAATAAATCACAGTGCATTAAGTGCCCACAATAGTCTTAAGACCTGTATTTAACGTGCCCAAGCCCATACTTTTGAGAGCACCATGTGAGCACCTGTGTGTGTACACGTGCTTGTTTATTTAAGGTTTCTCTATAGGAGCGTACAACAGAGAGTGTGAGGGACCACAGATCCGCCCCCCAAAGATGCGCAGGAGACGGGGGGAGCTCCAAGTCCCAGAGATCCAGGCGCTGCCCCAGAACACAGGAACCCCAAGGAGACTGCAACCAGAAAGGCCCCCGCCCCCCTCGAGAGGCACAGAGGATCGCCCCGGGGGGCCACAACCAGCAGCCGGCAGAGTCCCGGGAGACATCAGCGGCAAGCCCACAGGCCCGCCCGCAGCCTTCCACCCCCTAGCCGGCCGAGCTCGGGACCCAGCGACCTGGGACCCAGGGGCGACCACCCCCGCCGGGGACCCAGCAGAGCCCAGGGACCCAGACCCCACCAGGCAGCCACCGGGATCTATCAGGCAGATGCCAAAATCTTAAACCCCCAGACCCGGTTGCCACGAACACTCAGGCAGACCAAGGCACAACCCCTCACACCAGGTGTGGCAGGGGGAGGGGGGACGAAGATCCATATCATCAAGAGAAGTTCCAGGAGAGGGCAGGAGTCAAAGGCCCCACCTGACATATACAGTCATACACAAACACAGTCATACACTCCCTCCCTCATGCTCACACATGCACATACAACCCAAGACTTACAAAAATGCACGCTGGACACCCACTCATGCTCCCCATACACACCCTATTCACTCTGGTCCCGGTACTGCTGCACATTGGGTACAACCATCACCGGTAACCAGCGTTTGACCCTTTCTGCTGGGGTGCTGATGAGCAGGCTCTCCCGCCCAACGCTAAGCACAGCAACCTACCACCCCAGACCCCAACCAGACGGCCAGATCTCCCTCCTAGCCTCCAGCCCCAGGAAGCCAAGCAACAACAGAGGTGGCTAAGACCCCTAGTCTCCCTCCGCCTGATCTAATATAGTGTTGTGTGATCATGAGGTGTATTCCATGGCTGTGGTGAGTGGGCAGTGCAGGCATCATCCGGCCTATGCCAGCTGATGCCACCGCACCACCCCACTTACACCCTCAGCCATCAGTGTCTAAGTGTGGTTTAAAATTGGAAGTGGGCACCGGCACCCATGAGGAGGCTGAGATATCCCCCTGCCAAATGCCGTTGAATGTGCTCACTCCCAAGGCCCTAAGTGTGTGTTTGTGTGGAATGTCGTCAGTGGAAGTGTATACGGTGCAAATAAAATTGGGGGGCAGGTTGCCACAGGAATGCGGAAATGGGATCCATACCCGCACTCCCTGACTTGCCCACCCCCCAAAGTCCTATGTGTATGTTTGTGTGATGATGTGAGGGAGCAGGAGGAGAGAAACATGCGGGGATGGGAAGGAATGGCTGGTTGGGCTTAGCCAAGGTCTACCTGAGACCCCTGAACCCGGGCCAGGCACTGCTGCGTGTTCCTGCCTTCTTCCCGGCAGCATACATGTCAGGACCCGACCCCCAAGGCCCCGCCCAGATCCCCACACAGGGCCGGCCACCCCCAAACCCCGAGCCCCCAGGCCCCCACCCAGACCCGCCCAGGGGCATTGCAGCTGCCAGGCAGTGACCC